GGGGCTTCTCACCTAGGGCCCCCGGGGAGGGGTCGCCTGGCGGCCCCCCCAGAGGACGCTGGCGGATAGCTGCGCGGGCGCGACCCCTGGCAGCCCCGCTTTGGGCTGGGTCGCTGCCTGTGGGTACTCGGCTCGGAGAAGAAGGGCAAAAAGGCTAGGAGCAGTCCTCAATATCCTCCTCCTCCTCCTCCGCCTCCTCCTCCCTCCCTCCCTCTTCCTCGTCCTCCTCCTCCTCCTGTTTCTGCTCCCTCTTCTTCTCCTTCTCCTTGTCCTTGTCTTTCTGCTTCTCCTTCTCCTTCACCTTCTCCTTCTCTTTTTCCTCCTTCTCCTCCTCCTCCTCTTCCTCCTTCTCCTCCTCCTCGTCCTCCCCCCCACTCCCCGTACTCCTCCTCCTCCTCCTCCTCTTCTTCCTCCTCCTCGTCCTCCTCCTCCTCATCTTCCCTTTATCCCTTTCTTTCTCTCTTTCCCTGCCTCCCTCTTTCCCCCCCTCCCTCCCTCCCTTCCTCCCTCCCTCACTCTCTCCGTTCTCTTCTCCCTCCTTTCTCCCTTCTGTCTATCCTCCTGGTGCGTGTCGATCGGCCTGGTGTTCAGCATGACCGCTCGCACGGCACTCAGGGACCCGAGCGCCTGAGCGCAGCGCGCAGGGACGCCGCAACCGAACTTGACGTGGTCGCCTGCGGGGGAGGAGGCAACGAGCGCTTCCGGGAGGAGGAGGATGAGGATGTATGAGGATGATGATGAGGATGAGAGGAGGAGGAGGAGAAAGAGGAGGACAAGGAGGAGGGGGATGATGATGATGATGATGATGATGATGATGATGATGATGATGATGATGATGATGATGATGATGATGATGATGATGATGATTATGGTGATGATGATGATGATGATGATGGTGGTGGTGATGATGATGCTGATGCTGATGATGATGGCAATGATGATGATGCTGCTGCTGATGATGATGATGATGCTGATGATGATGATGACGATGATGATGAGGAGGAGGGGGAGAAGGAGGAGGAGGAGGTGGAAGAGGAGGGAGGGAGGGAGGGAGGGAGGGGGGGAGGGAGGGAGGGAGGGAGGGAGAAGGAAGAGGAGGAGGAGGAGGAGGAGGAGGAGGAGGAGGAGGAGGAGGAGGAGGAGGAGGAGGAGGAGGAGGAGGAGAAGAGATGGACTGGAGGAGGAGCGATGGACAGGAGGAGGAGGAGGAGAGGAGGGAGGAGGAGGAGGAGGAGGAGGAGGGAGGAGGAGGAGGAGGAGGAGGAGGAGGAGGAGGAGGAGGCAAAACGGAGGCACAGAAGAGGCAAAGACGAGGAGGAGGAAGAGGAGGAGGAGGAGGAAGAGGAGGATGATGATGATGATGAGGAGGAGGAGGAGGAGGAGGAGGAGAAGGAAACAACAAATCCATTGTAAACCCAGACCCGCTCTCCAGACTCCATTTATCCCAACCATCCTGTGGTGTTGGGTCCTCGTTTTGAAGAGACAGCGCCCCGCGTTCTTTCCTCCTTCCTTCCTCCTCCCCTCCTCTCTGCACCGCCCGCATGCGTCAGCCACCACCCACTTCGGCACACCCCTCACACGTTTCGTGGCCCTATAAAGGGGGCTCCACCGAAGCCCCCCAGTGGGACCGCCCGCGTGCGTCGGCCACCACCCAGTACAGCGTTTCCTGGCCCCATAGAGGGCCCATCGAAGGTCCCAATCGGACCGCCCGCATGCGCCAGGCACCACCCGACACAGCGTTTCGTGGCCCCGTGGGTGGGGGCTCCACCGAAAGCCCCAATGGCACCACCCGCCTGCTTCAGTCACCACCACCCAGTGCAGCGTTCCGCGGTCCTATAGGGGGCTCCACCGAAGCCCCCCAGTGGGACCGCCCGCATGCGTCAGCCACCACCCAGCACAGCGTTTCGTGGCCCCATATGGGGCTCCACCGACGGCCTCAGTGGCACCGCCCGCATGCGTCAGTCACCACCCAGTACAGCTTTCGTGGCCCCACAGGGAGCCCCACCGAAGGCCCCGGTGGGACCACCCGCATGCGTCAGCAACCACCCAGCACAGCGTTTAGTGGCCCCATATGGGGCTCCACCGAAGACCTCAGTGGCACCGCCCGCATGCGTCAGTCACCACCCAGTACAGCGTTTCGTGGCCCCACAGGGAGCCCCACCGAAGGCCCCAGTGGGACCGCCCGCGTGCGTCAGCCACCACCCAGTACAGCGCTTCGTGGCCCACAATGGAGCGAGCTCCACCGACGGCCCCAGTGGCACCGCCCACATGCGCCAGCCACCACACAGTACAACATTCCTTGGGGCAGTTGGGGGCTCCACCGAAGGCCCCAGTGGCACCGCCCGCATGGGTCAGCCACCACCCAGCACAGCGTTTCGTGGCCCCACAAGGAGCCACCGAAGGCCCCAGTGGCACCGCCCGCTTGCGTCAGCCACCACCCAGTACAGCGTTTCGTGGCCCCACGGGAAGCTCCACCGAAGGCCCCAGTGGCACCGCCCGCATGCGCCAGCCATCACCCAGTGCAGCGTTTCGTGTCCCCATAGGGAACTCCACCGATGGTCCCAGTGTGACCGCCCGCACGTCAACCACCACCCAGTACAGCGTTTCGGGGCCCCCGTGGCCCCCTAAGGAGCTCCACAGAAAGACCCCAGTGGCACCGCCCGCCTGCGTCGTCCACCACCCAATACTGCATTTCGCGGCCCCGTTGTTGGGGAGCTCCACCAAGCCTCAATGGCACCGCCCGCATTTTTCCCCCCCACCGCGTAGAGCGTTTCGTGGCCTCGTTGGGAGCTCCAGTGGTCCGCCTGCACGCGACCCCCACCCAGTATACAGCGCTTCGTGGGCCCATGGGGAGCCTCACCGAAGGCCCCAGTGGCACCGCCCGCATGCGCCCCCCACTCCCAATGCAGCGATTCGTGGCTCCATAGGGAGCTCCACCGGAGCCCCCAGTGGCACCGCCCGCATGCGTCGGCCACCATGGCCCCGCAGGGAGCTCCACCGACGGCATGCGCCCCCCACTCCCAATGCAGCGATTCGTGGCTCCGTAGGGAGCTCCACCAGAGCCCCCATTGGCACCGCACGCATGCGTCTCCCCCAACCAGTACAGCGTTTCGTGGCCTCATCGGGGTCTCCAGCGAATGTCACCACCCGCATGCGTCCGCCACACCCAGTACACCGTTTCGTGGCCCATCGGGAGCCCCACCGAAGGCCCCAGTGGCACCGCCCGCATGCGTCTCCCCCACCCATTATGGCACGTCCCTTACGCGTTTCGTGGCCCCATGAGGAGTTCCACCGGAAGTGGCACCCACAACGCGTTATTCACAACTGCATATGGTTGGGTCCTTCGCCAGGGTAATTTTCATAAGCGCCTACAAGGAGCTGTCCCTGGGGGAAGTGCCCCGTTGAAAAACAACCGTTTGAAAATCGGGACCTGTGCCATAACGCGATTCCTGGGATTTCAGCGCTGCGAATCATCGTTGCAGGCGCGTCTTGACGATAGAGAACCGTGCCAGAACATTGTTCCAGGGACTTCAACACCGCGAACCATTGTGTCAGTTGAGCCCTGACACTCCGACATCGTGCCAAAATGCCATCTCTGGGACGTTAGCCATGAGAGCTCTTGAAGCTGTTGTAAACTCTTAAAGCGAATGTGCGCGGCACTAAGGCGATAATCACATTTTGAAGATGGAACGCCATGCATCCGTGACACTCTTGCATGTTTAAGAACGATGTGCACAAATCTTAAGCGAGAGCCGCATTCTGAAAACGGGCCGCCCTCCATCCGTGAAGATCCTGCAAACTTGTGAGACGAGTGTGCGTGGCGCTATTGCGAGAACAATAGTTTGAAAACGACCCGCCCTCCATCCGTGAAGCTCTTGCAAATGTTCAGTTTAATGATCATAGACGGCCAAGCCGTCTCAAGCGACACGCCTGGCCCGCCCGACCGACGCGCCTGGGGCTGCGACAGGGAATCATTTCAATTAGGAAAATGAATGGAGGATGAATACATGGAGGAGGGGGAAGAGGAGGAAGAGGAGGAGGGGCACCGCTGGAGCTGAGGGGGCGCTCCTCTCCTCGGCGGCGGGCGGGGCCGCACCGCGGGCTCTCTGAGGCCAGTTTCACATTTCATTTAGACGGGCGTCATCCTATCCTTCCCAGCGCGGAACGCGAGGAGGTTGCTGTCGCAGGACACGGGGTGACCATCCCCGAAATTCTTGACCTCTAGGTACAGGTAGTGGGCGAGGACGTGGCGCTGGACATTCGGATATTCATCAACAGCGAATGATCCCAATTCTCAGAACAGTTCGCGCCCAGATACAGGCGCTCGACGACATGGGCCTGGGCGATCGTGCGCGGCAGGCAGATGAAGTGGCTCATGCGGCTGCACTGCAGGTGTTGCGCGATGGCGTCGGGCTCGCCGCAGCAGCCGAACTTGCAGCGGTCGACCTCGGGCGTGACATGCATCCTCGAGCTCGTGTGCCAGACTCCCGCCAGAGTGCGCAGCGCCACCAGGCACCACGATGGTGCAACCTCCATCAGTTTTTTGTTCAAGGCGGTCCAATGGGCACGCAGGTCAGGCGGTGCGCTGCCAGGGCCGAACCACGCCGTGAGGCACCACTGGATGGTCACCTCGAACTCGCCCCGCATCCAGTGCGGGTAAGCGCGCTGATGAAAGAGCGCTGCGGCTTCGGCTTGCCCCCGTTCTCAATGGCGACGCGGACGGCGCGCTTGGCGATGCGAGCGGCTCGGCCGAGGTCGTGGAACTCCCTGGGTGGTATCTGCTTCGAACGACCATTCACGATCTCCTCGAAGCGCTGGAAGATGGATTCGGGTTCTTGCCAAAAGGGCGGAGACCAGCGCTTTGTAGTTAGAGCGTCGAACCCGTGGACGGGGCCCGCGAGGTCGGAGAACTGCTTGTAGAGGTCGTGCCACTGCGTCATGGTGAAGGAGGCGGCGTGTCACGTCGAGCCCAACGAGTAGATGAGCAGCGAGCGTGGGGCCGTGTCAGGCATCCAGTTGCTCAGCGCATGGGCGTCCTTGAGGCGGAACGTACTCGGCGGCATCCGCAGGATCTTGTGGGCCGCGTAGAACTCCTTGCGGCGCATCTGGGCTGGCAGATCGAGGAACTGCGCGAGGTGGCCGAGGACAGTGATCGCGGACGTCTGGTAGAGGCGGGCGTTGGCATCGATTGGGGACGCGTCGTCCACTGCGACCAAACGCGGCCGGCGGTTGGAGCCGGAGGTCGCCAATTGCATCAAGTTGCCGGCACTAGGGCCGACGTGCGCGTCAAGGTAGGTGCCCTCGTCGGCGACCTTGAAGTGGATCCACTCGGGGAGGAAGGTGTCGAGGAAGATGGCGACCTGGCTGCGAACCTCATCGGTGAGCTTCGCCTGGAGGGGAATGAGGGCGCTTTCTGGACATTGAGCGTGGGGTTGCCGAGCAGCGCCGCATGGCGGAACACATCAGCCAGCGGGGCGAGGAGTGCGAGCCTCTGGAGGTGAATGGCCAGGTCGTCGGTGCACGCCGCTGCACAGCCGCGCGGGAGGGCCGGCAGGAGGTGGTGGCGAGGTTCGGCCTTCTCCTCCTCCTCCTCCTCATCCTCCTCCCCCTCCTCCTCCCCCTCCTCCTCCTCCTCCTCCTCCTCGTCCTCCTCCTCCTCCTCTTCCTCCTCCTCCTCCTCCTTGGGCAGCACGGCGTGAATGGCACGGATGACGACGTCCATCGCAGTGGCCCACATCGTGCCCGAGAGCGGGCCGCCCTGGGCAACTCCCGAGTCGAGGCCACACACGAAGTGGTACTTGCCATGCTGGATGAGGAGGAGGAGGAGGAGGAGGAGGAGGAGGAGGAGGCAAATCCGATGGAGTGGTCGTAGGGCGCCGCGACGGCGTTGGGGCTCGCCACTGCCGCGAGCGGCATGCCCTCGGCAGCTCGCAGCAGGCGCACCCCGGGCTGGGAGTGCCCCGCCGCGAAAACCCGCCGCCGCGTGCGCCGCCAGCAACGCCCCGCGGGCGGCTTCTTCGGAGTCGCGGTGGCAGGCTGGCTGCTTGAGCTTGCCAGGCATTGCTCCGCAGCGAGCGCGGCGCGGCCGCTAACCTGCGATGCGGCGTTGCGCCAAGATGGGTATTGGGGGAGGAAGGAGGAGGGAAAAAGAGGATGAGGAGGACGAGGGAAGAGGACGAGGGAAGAGGAGGACGAATGAGGAGGAGTACTGTCTTTGATGCGGATGATAATGATGATGATGATGACGGTGGTGGTGGTGGTGGTGGTGATGATGATGTTGATGATGATGATACTGATGATGATGACGATGGTGATAACGACGATGACAACGATGATTATTATGCTGATGATGCCGATTATGAACATAATGAAGATGATGCGGACGATAATTGTGATGACGACGACGATTATGATGAGACTGGTGATTACGATGATAATGGTTATGATGATGAGGAGACTGATGACGAACAGAGACAATGATGACGACGGTTATGATGATGACGATGATGATGCTGGTGCTGATTGCTCTTGTCATTGTTATTATTGCTATTTCTAGTATTAGGATGACGATGAAGATGAAGATGCTGATGATGATGACGATGCTGATGACAACGCTGGTGATGTTGATGATGATGGCGATGATGATGATGATGATGATGATGATGATGATGATGATGATGATGATGATGATGATGATGATGATGATGACATTGGTGATGATGATGATGATGAACATGATGATGCTGATGATGATGATGATGTTGATGATGATTATGCTGCTGCTGATGATGATGATGATGTTGATGATGATGATGATGATGATGATGATGATGATGATGATGATGACGGTGGTGGTGATGATTGTGATGATTGTGGTGGTGGTGATGATGATGCTTTTGAGGATGACGAGGATGATGACGAGGCCGGATGAGGGAGGAACGCAATAAAGAATAAGGACCTCCGACCAAGCCGATCAGCAGCGACCCCGGCTCCGCCTCCTCCAGCCACGAGGCGGATCTGGACCTGCTCGGGATGGCGGCAGAAGAGCGGAAAGAGACTAGGCAGTCTGCAAAGCACGCATACTCGAAAGGAGGAGGAGGAGGATGAGGTTTTGGGCCACCACGAGATGATGGAGCACATCCTCAAGATCAACCTTCTGTATGTCGGCCCGACATACTCGGTTGTGGTGTCGTCCAGCTTTGAGGAGATGGACGCGAAGATCCAATATGATTATTATGGTGAATGGGAATATCTTATGCTTCAGTATTCTCGCAATTAGTTATATGATATCAGTGCTTGGGTGCATGATGATGAATATGATGAAAGTCTCAGTGGATTCCTTTTTGGCAGCCGTTGTATGAGGCGACTTCTATTCTATGTCTGGGCGCTACCTCACAGTGCCTGGAACAAACTGCAGCACGCTCTTCATGGTAATGGGCCAGCCCAGAAGAAGACGGTGGCGAAAGTGTTGGCAAGAGTTATACCTGCCAAAGCTCAAGCGAGAGAGTGTGCGGTCCTCGAGCTTCAGAGTGACCACAACGCCCAGCAAGTATATGACCATCTCAAGAAATTCTCGGCGGAACGGATGAAGACGATTGCAGCTTTGCCCACCACCGAGATCACCAAGGCCATCGACGCCTGGCTGAGAGAGCAGCCTATTGGCACTACCACATCTTCAGCAAACAAGAACGCCGAGAAGGCCGCAACGAAGACAAAGAAGAAGAAAAAGAAAAAAGAACTACAACCAACAGGATGGCAGATTACCTCCAAGTTGGATCCTGATGATTGGGATATTCCAGTATGCAGAGGCCTGCCGACAGACGTCAACATCATGAAGGCGGTGCACCTGGTCACAGTTGCCGAGTTGCTGGAGCTTACTAAGCTCGACAGTTTCTGGCAGCGACCTGACCCACCAGACCCCTTCGGCTTCGTGCTAGCGCAGGCGCCGTCTCAGGTGCCTAAAGACTTGTATCTCATGTGGCCAGCGTGGACTTGCGTCGGCCATCAGTCTTATGCATGTACCTACCTCTTCTTGAAAGTGATGACAGACGCACAATCAAGCAGTTGTATGTATGGCAATATGACGGGAAACAAAACGAAGTTGTTGTCCTGAAAAAGAAGCCCACAAAGATCACCTGCTCCCAAGATGAGCTCATGAATGTTGCCATTCTCGAAGTTGCACGGAGAAGCTCTTCAAATATATGTACACATTACACAAGCAGGCGACGGCAGCACGTGACCGACGTGCTGAGGGATCGCCTGGACAGCGTAATATGAGTCACCTCCACCATGGCGTGTTCTGGACAATGAATTGGCGAGAATCGGTTTGGCGAAGCTCCCAATGCAATTTCATGGTCCAGATACCGACTTGAGGGTGTGGAGTGGCAGAGTTTTCAATGATGAGCAGCCTGGTCAGAGGATAATATCAGGTTTGTTCAAAACTACCTCAGTGCGAGCTCGAGCATTACGAGTTGAATCTGGACCAGATGGTATCATATTCTAACGATCCCGTGCAGGTGGTGTACCAAACCAAGCACTGGATGAGGAGAAAAACACAGAGGATTTCGTGCCCATCACACGTGGCACGACGTTGACGGATGCAATTGCTCAGACAGCAACTCTAGAGGGAGGCCGAGGCCTGGGTCACAAAGCCAACGGCGCCCTCTTCTTTCGAGTCTGCAAAACAAAGGCCCAGGCAACGTGGCAAGCCCTACAAGGACGTGCCCCACCTGCGCCGTCACTCTATGAGATTGCACCTCTGCCACAGCTGGTGGAAGGAAAACATCTGGTCAGTGAACTGTCCCAGCAACTGGGATGGGAAGCCGAATTTGTCAGTCTACGAAAGAAAGGTAAAGGATCACGATCGACTCCAGTTATCCGCGTACGTGCTGCAGGGCCACCACAGGTTTCAGACTTACTCCTGGGCGATATCCAAGCTACGATCAACGCAGTCAAGAAACCAGAGGCCCCAGCACCAGTATCAAAAGAATGGGTGGATGTTGTCACAAAGTTTACTGGGAAGAAGCCGAGCGAGCGAGCACCAGCCCAGCAAGCAGCAGCAAGCTCCATCCCCACAACGCAACTTACACGACCAGCACGACCAGCAGCACCAGCACGAGCACAGCAGCCACAAGTGCAACCACCACCACCGACACCGACGTCGTCAGCAGGCAGTGGGCTCTCAGCGGCCTTCCAGAAGTTCATCACGGATGCTGTTGGTGCGGCTTTGGCAGAACAAACCAAACAAATCATGACACAACTCCAGATTCAGGGGCAAGGCCTTTCAAAATGCTTCACTCTACTGCGTGCAGGTACTGATGTTCTCACGGAGGAGGAGAAGAAGGATGATGAGGAGCTTGAGCGCCTGGCAAAGCGACCCAAGGAGACCTCGGAGGCCGCCCCCATGCAAGTTGATCCGCCGCAATGATGGCCTCCAGACGACTGCGAGGCAAACAGCCTGCTGGCAGGCCAGGGCCACCCCCTGCTGCGAGGATGGCTAGAATACTTTCGGCAAATAGTACCAGCTGGAATACTTTCAGCGGAAGAATGTCATGTATGTCGGCAGATGTCTTGGCCTTGCAAGAGACGAGACTCAGCCTGCGAGAGCAACTCGGATGTGACAAAGCGCGTGCTGCAATACACTATCGAGCCAACTTTGGGCTACCTGTACGTGCTCAAATTTGTCACGGGCAAAAGGCATCACGGAGTGCGCTGGGTGGAGTTGCTATTCTTACCAAACACGATGTGGTGGCTATTGATTGTGGGAAAAGATACGGTGCTGCGCGGGAACTCCACCAAACTACGAGGTGGTTGAGGCAGTTGGTTCTTATTGGTGGTACTCCTATCCATACTGTATCTTTGTATAATGAATCTGGCAATGATGTATTGATCAGGACACGCAACAACAGAAACTTTCAATACGCTTTCGAGGATGCCGAATCGCTTGGAGATCAGGCGGTGTTTCTGTGTGTGGATTCTAATACGGCAATTACCCAATCATCGATGCTCTCAGCTGCCCTAACAACAAAGCGGTGGCATGATATTGGAGCTATCTATGGCAGCGAACCGACATATGGGCAAGATCCGAATTGGGACAAATTCCCACCTGGAACGAATGTCAGTCGTCCAGACTTGATTATTGCCAACACAGCTGCACGTGAAGCTATTCATTCATTTCGGCTTCGGCGTGATCTGGGGATCTGCTCACATCTTGGCTTGGAGCTCACCATGAATGTGACACAACTTGAGGAGAGCTGGCAAATATTACGATTACCACTCGCTTATCCTATCGAGGCGCTCAAGAAGATCTCCACCGAGGAAAACGAGAAAATTGGGCAAGAATGTATTGAACAATATTATGAAACATTCGAGCGTGCGCTGGAAGATGAAT